CCACGAATCGGGTATAACGCGTAACTTAGAAAGTAACCGAATAACTTTTGTATATCAAATAACTATAACGACATATAACTAATGTAAAATTATATTTTTATTTACATTAAAGAAGGGCCAATGCGATAAAATTTATAGATAAGGGTTACAAAACTGTGGAAGAATTAATAGATGACCCAGATTTGCAACCAGACCAAAAATATATAATTATGCATAGAAAGGAATTGGATAAGAAAATTCCAAGGTGGGAAATGGAATCAATCCATGTAAGTAATTATATATAATTCAGTTATCCTTAACTTAAATAGGAATATTCCTAAAAATTTTATTTTTTATAGAAATATATTTATCTAACTCTGAAACAATTAGAAGATCATTATCTCGCTGAAACATGTGGTAGTTTGTATGTTTAATACAAAGTTCATTTATTCCCTCTTAATGATGTTTTCGAAATCTTATATAACTATATGTTTATAATTAGTCGTCGAGGAGCAGAATTTTCTGAATCATTGAATATTGTTATTTCACATCCTGATTTCAAAATTGATTATGCTACTGAAAATAAGGATAATTTTTTGAAGAAATTGATTAATGATTTAAAGAACAAAGGGTTCTGTACTGATTCCTTTCTCATGGAACCTTACAAATACCTAGTAAGGAAATTTTTTTACTTTTTTTGTGGTGGTATTTATAATATATATATATTATGTATTGAGGAAAGATGAATATTATTAGGCAATTTGTCGACTCCCTCCACTAAATCCAAAAGCAAGAACATATTTGCGTCGTAAAATTGAAATAAGGTAAGATTAAAGAATTTACATTATTACTAGTATTATTGATAATTTATTTTGCCTTTTGTTTTTAGTGCCGTACCATATGAAAGGTATTGGCTTACGATTTTAGCGAAAACGGGGGATAAAACATTTTATAAATCATTACAAAAAAGAGCACATGAAAAAGGGTTTAAATTAAGTGATACTATATTAGCGCCAATAGAACAAAATAATGTGGTTGGGAAACCATTAAATATTAATAGCGAAAATGACATTTTTAGAATATTGAATACAAAATATTTAGCACCAAAAGATCGAGATTGGAGGAATCCATAATAAAAATCATCACTAACTACAGTACATTTATTGAGAAATTGTCAACCGAAAGGTTATCTATAGGTAATGTAAGATGATTCATTAAAAAAATATCATATAAGAAAAATATTACTTTATAATTTACGGACGAATTTTTTTTTTTAAAAAAAAATAAAAACTAATCTAATTTTCCAACTTTTTATTTTTCTTTAAACATTTGATTTTGTTTTCTAATTCATTCATTTTGTTTTCCATTTCTTGTTGAAGTTCAATAAAAGCTAATTTATACCAAAGAACATGTAACCCAATATAAGTTATTGAACCAATTACAAAACAATTAACAAATGAAGGTCCATAAACATTCCAAACTTTGATGTTCTCATTTTGTATTGAAGTTGTCGTCGAATACTCAGAATGGTGGATTGAAGCTTTGTTTGTTCTAGAAAAAAAAGGAAATTGGTTATGAATCGTGGAAGGTGAAAATCGATTCAGACGTGAAAAATTCTTTAAATTGATTATTGATCTTAATGAATTCATTGTAAACTTTTGGAATTTATTTTACTAATTTTCACGATCTATTTTGATATCGGGAAGAAAATATCCAATCAAATCGTAAGTTCAATTTTGTAGATCTTTTTTGATTGAAAAGGAATTTTGCTATATTGTAGGTTATAGTAACCTAGAAAATAAATATAAATTAGAACAGATGAAAAACAATAATCAATATGTAAGTTTACATATAAATAAAAGTTAAATTTTCATACATATTGGTAGATAGAAGGTAGGGATTAAAATTGGAATTCAAATAGATTTTAATATACAATACAAGTTTTTTTTTTACAATAGATTTATTATCTACTTCAAATTGAATGTATTAACTTAAAGTAAATAGAAGCATAGTTTTTTGAAGTAGAATATTTATAATTTTACCTTAAATATAATGAAAATTTTATTTAGATTAAAATAAATAAATTAAAATATTAACAAAAAAAAAATATATATAAATTTTTTTAAATTAATATTAAAGTTAAGCATATAGAACCTTTACAATAGAAAGAGAAAAACTGCTAAAAAAAAAATTTACTTTTATATATTAAATGTGTTTTTAAATCAAAATATGTTCAGATTTAGCATTAACTCATTTTTTATTTTTTTTCAAGCTATTTTTTCTTTTCTATTGTAAAGTTTTAAATTTTAGAAAAATCAATTA